CAAGACGTCCCAAGATCAAACCTGGAAATGGGTGAGGAATGTGAGGGAAGGACTCTGTGGAAATAGGAGAAAGGAAGTGAAGTGGACCTTTTGCTGGGCTGGAGCAGAAGGGAAACGTCTATAAATCCATTTCACAGGTGGAGCATGTGTGTGTCATCCCGAGGGGCTGCAGCCTGAATAAAGGCACTCCTCTCCCTCCTCACCAACCCCTAGTGCAAGCTAACTCTAGCTTTCCACATCCTTTTCCTGATTATTCCACTTGCACTTCTAGCACATGCTGCTGAGCTATCCAGTCCTCACCGCCGTATCTCTAAAACCTTGAAATCTAAAACCAGCTCAAGAGACCTTTATCTGTGAATAGCACAAATCAAATGAGCCCAAAAGTGACAACAAAGGAGTAATAATTAGACCTGTGTGTTGAAACAGCACGTTTTAACTCCATCTCCAAAGTGCTCCCCGCCCCCCACCTTCCCCTCTCCTTTGGCAGCTTACCTTCTTTGGGTGGTCGCTTGGCCTCCCTGGTAAGATTGCAGACTTGGGTGGTTTGCAGCTCCTGGGTCAGGCAGCCCTCTGTCTGCTCATTCAGGGGTAATACCACGTTATTTAACAAAACCAGCGACTGGTCGTCGATCCCCCACTCTCCCAAATGCTGAGGGCAGGTGCATTTTGTATACATGATCCCACATGATTCTGTTCTCCCATTTTCTGATTTTAAGCAGCTCTCCAACCAAGTGCATAATACATGGCAACCAAACTGGCTTGGGCTGACCTTGTTCAATACCAAAAACTCAAAAAATGATTTCTGATCTTCTTCCCCTTTTTTCTGTAATCCTGGGAAATCAGTTGGAAATACTCGACGTATTTGAATAAAATTTTTATCATACTGTAGAAAAACGAAAGCATTCTTGGAATTGCAGAGTTGCATTATAGAATGATTCTTTCTTAAGAGATCCTTTATTTTTTCATGGGAAAAATGATCAAACTGATAAGCCAGGAGTGAAAAGTTAGAGCAGCTAAGGTCCTTTTTGGAAAATTTCAGGTAAATGCTATATTTGGTTGGATCTGGATTTTCCAGCGTCCAAGTGCAGTTTGTAAAGTTTTTGGGAAACATTTCACTTACAGAATACGATCCATAAATGACTCCCTTCACCAAAGTTGAACACCAGAAGTCTTGGGCAGCATTAAATCCAAACATAACCAGGAGATAGGTGGAAAATATATAAATCAGCAGGTTACGAACAGCCTTCATCCTATGTCATTTGGCCTGTAAAAATGACAATGAAAGTAAAATGCAAGTAGGAGTCTACACGCATTAAGAAAACAAACTCCTTTCAATATTATAGCCAGCTGTTTTCAAGATTTCAGAAAAAAAAAAAAAACCCTTTTTAAAAGAAGGGCAGGTAATTTTTATTTTATAACACGGAAAAATTATCTGTTGCTGTGTGAACAGCGCCCTCATGTGGCCATTCACAATGGTCAAATTCGCAGCATTCAATTTAAAAATAACATTTAATAGATTATTAATAGGAAAACCCTAACTTATCTACCAGGATTTCCTCTATGCCCATTATCATCCTATACAATGAAAGGGAAAACATGGAGTTTTAAAACATCGTAATCTAAATGTTAATTGTCAAAATATTATTAATCAGTCTACAGTCTATACAATCTTTTCTCTCTCTGTCCTCTGCCTGCAGTAAACATCATCATACAAAATCTAATCTGATAATCTTTGAACAGCTGTCATCACATTATTTCTCTTATCTTAAATGTGAAAAGTAATTATGATAAATCATGGCCACAATTTTAAAAGCACAAATGATAATTTGTTACAGATGGAACATCATCTCCCAAATGCCCCACTTGCCTTTGCAGGGGCCACCATGCAAACTGCTCAGAAATTCCTTTGCAAAAACATGGGCATTCATGTGGATTAATTAATTTTAAAAGCATCATTTGAGAAAGGGCATAGGTGGATAAATACAGTGGGGAAACTTGTTGTTCAACATCACCATTGAGACCCAGGATTTAAGGCAGTCATTTCAATGTGACATGCCCTCTTGAGATACATAAAGTGGATCACTATTTGTATCTGTATCCAAAGGTGATGTCAGTAAAGAAATTCCAGAGCCATACTAATTAAGCTGGCATCAGTCTTTTAATTTTTAAAAAATTATCAACTGTAATTTAAGGTTTACACATGGTAATGAAATACATTGGCATTTTTGTCCCTAGTAGATTTCAGTTATTGAATTGCTCCCTTTCCAACAACAACTTCAAAGCTCCTCTTTTTTTCTCTCTCTTTTTCTTTTCTTTATTTTTTAATCTCAACCCTGTCCTAGGATAATAAAGTAGTCCTTGGTTATATTTACCTCTGTAAGTTGTTATCCAAAAATAACTTGAATATTTTTCAGCTTTAACTTTTAAGAAGTTATTTCTTAGAATATATGACACTGCTTTTTGTTTGTTTGTTTGTTTGTTTGTTTAGCCTTTGAGCTGATAAAAGTGATGCCAAGTTAATTTTACAAGTCTTTAGGCTGCAGTCTCTTCCACTGTTCTGTAAACAGAGACAGACATACAGATATATAGATAGTTAAGAGTTTTCATGCCTTTGCCTGGGTCTTCTCTAAACCAAAGGATAAAACCCTCTGCCTTCCCATTGCATAACACACACCAACGCATGCACACCAAATCCAGTGACCGAAGTCCCTGAAGATAGATCTGCATTTTCCAGATTATAATTCAAATTCTATGTCTTGATATAGGCAAACACAGCCCCAACTCTAAATCTCTATATAGCAGTAGTTTAAAATAGCATCAGAACTGCTGGGACCATCAAAACAGTGTTCTCTGTTTCAAGCAAATAGCTCAATGAATAATGCATTTTCTTCATGAAAAAATAAAGCCAATGAGCATTTAAAGGTTAAAAAAAAAAAAACAGAGAAAGTTGTAAGAAATTCTGGAAATAATTTCCTATTTTTTTGCTGTAGCACTTTGCAGGCAATGCAGGTCTGCGCAGTGTTCTTCAGGATAGAGTGTAGGCGTTGAGAGCCAATGTGACAATAAGAGTCTAAATTAGGAATTCCATCCATGAAAGGGGGCTTCATTTTATAATCAGGAACTCAAAAAGAGGTCGTATGTCTTTTCTTAATGAAATTGGTACTTTTGCTTCCATTTATTTGACAGTGCATGTCTGCAATGCCGTGCTCACCAATGATCAGAAAGAACGAGGAAATAGCTCTGAATTCACTTTAATGCCTGCTCAAGAGAGCGCCCTCAATATAATGCTCTCTATTTTTAATCGGTCTGGAGTACAGAGTCTTGTTTTGTTGTAAATAATAAGAAAAAAATCATTCCCCCACCCCCCTTTAGACTGCAGGGCCCGTTCAAAAAACTGTATTTCCCTCTTAAAGAAGGGGTGGGGGCGGGGGTAAAGACTGGCCACGGAGGTGTCAAGGATGTTTTTATTTATTTATTTATTTATTTACCTCTTGCTGAGAAGCAAACCAGCATTGAGTTTAGCTATTCTCAAAACTGATTTTCTGGGTGACACTTTAGTTTAGTCGAACATAGACGGCGCCATCACTCCACAGATTTTTCCCCCCAATAGAAGACCCACTGCCTTTTCTTAACTTCCTTTTAACCTAAAATTTTTCTCCCCATAAAATTACCCCAATCACGCAAAACTGCCAGATTTTCTAGGTCTCTCTACTTATTCCTTCTGACCCAGCACCTCTCTTGAAAACCAGACTTCTGTAACTTTTCAACTGCGGCGTTTAGACAGTCGGATTTGCTCACAGCCTCCCCATCCGCCAGCAACAGCCTTTCCTTTCCTTTTCCTCCCTTCTCAAACACCAAGCCCAAAGCTTCCCGGGGGGCGAACCCCGGCAGAGGGAAGGTGACCCGCGACCCCCTTCCTTACCTTCCACTCCGAAAGCTCAGGGAGGCTCTTGCTCTAAGACACCAGCACAGGCACGCGTCCCAGCAACAGTGACGGAGAGACTCCCCTTCGGTCCCAATCACCGTTGCCCATTTTCCCCGGCTCAGCTTCCAAAATCAGGATTTATTTTTAAAAATGCACACATACGAAAAGCAAAAGGTGGGGGGGGGGGCGCAAAGACCAAAGGATGGGCAGTGAGGAAAAAAAAGCCACCAGGAGCCCAGAGCCTGGCGCCGTATCCAACTGAATCCAACCTCCAAGCCGAGGGGGGCTAAAGGGAGGGAGAAGCCCCCCTAAGGGAGACTCTATGGAACCCCCCCAAAAATGTTAAGTGGCTTAAGAGCGAAGATTTGTTTCATAAAATCTACCCCCAACAAACCGATTCGCCAAGAAGCAAAGAAAGCGCTGAGATGAGAAGTGACTGGCGGCGGCGGCGGCGGCTATGGCAGATGTGTTGGGGCGGTGGGTTTATGACAGGAATATTCGTGGTCGGATCGGAAGGCTCAAGCTCATGCTTTTTCCTCTTTCTGCTTTCCTCCCTCCTCCTCCTCCTCCTCCCCCCCCCGCAGGTACTGATGGACGGACGGCGACTAAGGAGAGGGGGGAAAAATCCTTGGCTGGTGATGTCGGAAAGCTGTTTGAATGCCCAGCGAGGAGGGAGGCGCGAGAGGGAGCGAGATAGTAAAGCTGTGTCTCGGGGTGCGCGCGCCTGCTCGCTCCCCCTTGGGCTCGCGCGGAGGGGGGGGGGGGTGTTGCGCGTGCCCGAGGAGCGCGTCCGTGCGTCCCGGGTGCTGCGCGCCCCTCTCCCGCACAGCTGCGGTGCGCACTGCCGCCCGCCAGAGGCTCGGCTCGCGCCGCACGGCCGCCACGACTTCCTGGAGTTCTGCCTCCCAGGGGCGCGGGAGAGTGAGAGAGAAGGCGAGGGGAGCCTTGAGGTGGGAAAGGGAGAGTGAGAGAGAAGGCGGGGGGGGGGGGGGGCGGGAGTCCCGGCGGGGGAGCGGGGGAGAGGCGGCGGGGAGGGGGCTCCGAGGAGCTCCAGGGAGGGCGGGGGAGAGGCGGCGGGGAGGGGGCTCCAAGGAGCTCCAGCCAGGGCCGCGGTGCGCCTGCACGTCACGGCTGCTCAAACCCAAGCACGTCCGGAAAGCGGTATTTTTTGCGTCTGGGAGGTTTTTGCATCCTCAGTTCCCACCGCTGGGGCTGGCAGCGACCGACTGTAAGAGAAACGCACTAGGAGGTAAGGCAGGGGGGTGCGCAGGATGGGAAGGCGACTCTGAAGGGTGGGAAGTGAATGCAGGACTTGATCCTCGTTTTCTTTTTGTCTTTCAGCGCGGACCTGACGCAGCCAGAGAGCTGTCATTTCAGCACCGGGATTCAGAATTGATCCAGTTCGCAGCGGAGGGGGCGCATCCCAGCTCCCGAGCTGCTGCGTGTCTCTGGCTGGAGCTATAGTAGTTTTTCTCTGGGAGGCTGCAATTAACATCTTATTTGTTCTGGCTCCATACAGGCTTTGTCAGGACCGCGGTGCGGCGACCGAGGTTGGGCTCTTGCATTGCTTTCTGCTTGGCAATGGAATCATGGTTTCGGGGTCTAAACTTTTGTTTTGTAGTCTTAATGTATCTGATTCTTTTTCAAGTTTCCTTAGTAACAGATTTGGGGACGGGATGGGAAGAAAAGAGAAAAGGGGTGAAGAGAAACAACCAGACTATCTATATAGAAGGGAAAAGAGATAAGTTCCCCCACCTTTTAATCTATCTGCCTGCCTGTCTATCTGTAATCTATCTATCAGTCATTTTGCCTCCTGGACAGTTGGCTGACGAAGTGTTTGATAAACTAGCTCAGATACATGCTGCAAAAGGTCATTCTCCTCGTGATTATGTCGCTACTTGTAAACGCAGTTGGTGGTTTGCAAAACAAGTGCTAAAATAGTGCCGTGATGTGGTGGGAGGAAACCATAATGGGCAATTGATATAAAGTGCTGGAATCTTCTGAAGGGTGACTTTCTCCGGCGGCAGGTGAAGTTGAATAAAGCAATTTTCCATCATTTGTTCTCCTCACTCTTTTACATTTTTTTCCTCCGCTTGTTGTTTCTCTCCCCCGGGGGGATTGTGGATAGCCAAGAACACCATTTTAAAAGAGGCTGATAGTGAAAACAGGAAGATGTTGATGGCCTTTTATCCACTGGAGTTGTTTGAAATGTTGTAATTGGTCCTTTACTTAATACATATTAATAGAGTGACCCTCTTCAAGGCTTTCCCTTTTTAAAGGAGTGCCTGCAATAACACTCTGTTAGGCAAACAGTTAATCATTCCCCAGCAGGCTTTAACTATTTTCCCAGTAACAAATCACCGGCAAGAGAGCAGCCTGGGTGGCATTTTGGTTTTGTGGCATTTTCGTTCCTTACAGTATTTTTTATTCATTTAAGGAAATGTTAAAAGGAAATAGAGTTTATATCAAGAACAAATTTTGAAACATCGTTTAAGCAAACATATTTTCTTTTAAAAACAAAGAACATTGAGCAACACAAAGGAGAAAAACATCTTTATTTCAACTTCCCTGGAGATTGTAATCATGATTTTTGCAAGGCAATTTGGTCAGTTCTGTTACTTTACCCAGATGAAAAAAAAAAATCATGATAGATGTGGAATAAAAATAGAGAAAAAATTCTTTGGATGGTTTATACATAAAAAAGGAAATAATGTAATGTGAGATTCAGTTATAGTTCTATTTTTCATGTAGTGATTTCTCATATTTTAACGCGATTTTGATATTTCTTAGAAATTCTTAGTCATGGCACAGTGACATAAGAATAACTCTTGAAAGGGACAATTTAAAAGCCTTAATGATAAATGGAAAGGATCACTTACTTCTAGGATCATTTATATTCAAGTAGAATGCAGGGCAGGGTCAAAAAAGAAAGCCACCCTTAATAAAGCGCTTCACCCTTCACACTGTTTCTCATAACCTTCATAAATTGCAGGCTACTGAGCTGGTCTGATGATGATCCTGCTGAGATATATTTATAGCAGATGATTTGTGGATGATAAATATGCCAGCAAGACACAGTCTCCAGTAACCCCAGGCTTGCCTGACTTTCTCAGGGGATTATAATCAAGAATCACAAAAAGAACCCTATATAGACAGTCTGGTCTCTGGACACCAACAACAGCACAATCCAAAGGCAAGCCAAGGGGGAACCACTTCGTTTCATGTCTGCAAGATGCTCCATGTGAAAGCATTGCTGACATGCTGACCCAACAGCAAAAAGAGAACAGCAGTTTACACACCCTCAGCGTTCTGTCCTTTCAGTCCTATTGATGTTGGTCCACTTTTATGATTTAATACATATTAAAATCACCATTTCAAATTATTATTATCTGCTTTAATTGGTCTCTTTCACAAGTCCAAGTGTATGTGTTTATATTTATATATATACAAACACATATACATATATTTTATACATGTGTGTATAGACACATTTGTAAGTACACATACACATATGTTTATATATAGAATACGTATATGTGTATTTCAGTTGGTACACATATTTGGTTGGGAAGTTTCACTACATTGCTTTGTATTTCTCTTTGATAAAGTAATGCATTTTCATTTCAAAACTGTCAAATTAATGTATAAACTGATTACTATGTAAGTTTTCTTGCTGACTTACAAAAGGACTACTGAGGGGTCAGTGTTAGCACATCAAAATATAGAATGGTATTGCATTTTAGATTGACTGAGGTATCCAATGTTAAAGGCTTTCAAATTTATCTCTCGTATTAATTCATTTTATTAAGATTACTTTGGAATAATGAGGTTTCTAAGTATAATTTATCTCAATTTTTCATCTTTTTGTGTGTTTCAAGTTTAGTCCCTCCATTTTGAGAATAACCCTAACTCCAGGATGATTGTTTAAAATTCAGTATCATTGCACAATTCTCCTACTCAATAAGAATGTTTCTAGAATATGCTTGGTCAATTGTAGAAAGTGTTTTCTGTTTTTTCTCTTACAGTCTTTCTGGTATTACTATATTACCACATTCTAAATTCTGTAACTTGTTATTTTCAGTAAGGCTTTAAGAAGCACGGATAGGTTTGTAGGTTACTTCTTGTTAAATATACCTTATTTTTTTAGTATTTGGTGTATATATATATATATATATATATACACACACACATATATCATGTGTATTAGATTATATATATTAGATATATACATACCCACATATATATATTAGATTATATATATTAGATATATACATACCCCAATAATAAAAATTGAGGCATATTTAATAAAAAAGTACTATATATATGTACACAAATGCACATACAGACGCCAAGCTTTTGGAATGTTAATTAAATGATCAAAATATTACAAGATTACATTGTTATGAGTACTTAACTTACCCTTAAAATTAGCATATTTATAATAAACAGAAACAATTTCTTCCTCTTCTTCTGACTCCTTATTATTATTATTTTATTATTATTTAAAAAGGAAGTCTCTCAGGAACCAAGCTGTATTTTCTCTAGTATCTATATAAAAACAAATTGGTCATTTTCTACTTGGACATCCCAGAATAGAAAGTACATAAAAGTACTAAAAAATAAAGAGATAGAGTCGGGGTTAAAGGAGATGTCATAGAACAGCTATCCTGGGTTCATTCAAGTGTAACCCTAATTCCATGCTAGACAAACTCAAGGTTAAATTTAGTCCAAAAATCCCAGTTACATCAGGTTTCAATTTTTTATCACTATTTCCCTATACAATGATACAAGTTAAAAAAAAAAGTTCGTAAATGCTTTTGGCCATCAATTTTCAAGGTTTCATTGGTGGCATTCAGGAAATGCCGTAAGTAGATAACACATAACGTCACATTTGTGTGTTGTAGCAACATCTTGGAAAATATGGAGTTTAAAAACTCACAATGTGTGTTTGTAAGGAAACATAAATTTACCTCTAAATTTATCCTTTTTCAGCTACTTTGTTTTTCATGTAAAGTTACTATACTTACACCATTATCTTTAATCTCTGAAATTTCAGTTATACTAGAAGTCAAGATTCTTCATTCCTCATTAAGGACAAGAAGCTGTGAATTCTCTGGACTTCAGTTATCTCACAGAAAAGAGCTTGATTGAGTAATGTCTAATATTCTTCCTGACATATTCTAAATAACAGAAGGTATCTCACAAGAAACAGAAGCAGTTAGAGAAAAATGCAACAAAATCCTAGACAAAAAAGCATCAGTTTTTTCACTCACAGGCCAGAAATGCCTCTCTATTCTATCATAATTTTGAACACCTCCATAGTTTTACTAGCTTTCCCCTTCCCCCCTTGCTATAATCTGCTGATGTACAGACAGTCCTTTCCATTTTTATTATTCTCCCACTCTAATAATTTTCTTTTCTTAGACAGACTTTACCATTAATGATGACAATAACTAAAGCTGCCAGGACCAGCACATCTGCTGACCTTTATCAACACCAGGTATTGAAGTCTCTGGACCACCCATGATTTCTGAACATTCGTTGATATTCAGTCCTGTTCCTGCCAATTCTGATCCACTTATCTCCACCATTTCCCTTCCCGCCAGATTCCCTCATTTTGCCTTCTGGATCTCCATGCTCCTTTATACCAACAAACAAGAGGGAGAATATTCTCTCTACCCACTTCATTAACTGAAGCCTGCTCTTTTATGAAGACATGGCATCTCTTCCAACTATGTCAAACAGAAGCAATTTATGGGTATGCTGCTTCCACACTCTGATTAAATGGGTCAGTGGCAGAATCAGTATCCTTACTCTACCCTTTGGTTTCACATCTTTACTCCTCATTTCACTTTCATGTCCACCTTTTTATAGAGATCATGGCATCTGCCTTTGCCATCTTTACCTCTTCCTCCAGGTTATATTTTCCAGTCATAGAATCTTTTAGCTGCCAGCTCACAGTTTTCTTGTCTACCTGACTTCCATTCCTCTTCTCATGACTTCAACACCGAGCAAATGTCTTATCCTGAAACACTAGCTTCATTCTATTTCTGATTTTTTTTTAATACCAGTTCAACCACGTTTCCCTATGTTCTTTAACTAAAAAGTCTAACTAGTGACTAAACCACTTCCAATATTTAAAATTTAATGTTTCAGTTACTAATTATAACCTTGTACTTTTATAAACTCACCTCCTAAGTAACCACATGAAATCAAGTCTTTCACAAAATTCAGATCTTTATTTTATTGATTACTACCAACTTCTGCTCTTATCTTCATTTTCTTCCTTATACCCTGTGGTAGGCAGCCTCTAACATAGACCCAAATGATCCCTACTTCCTGGTATGTGTGTCCTTGTGTAATTATCTCTCTCTTGAATGTGGACTAGATTTAGAAATTTGCTTTTATCAAACAGAATATGGTAATAGCAATGGGATGTTAAGATATAAAATGACTGTTTCATCTTGGGGGCTCTTTTACTTTTTTATTCTTCCTTAGACCACCTGTTTGCCAGTAAGCCAGATGTCATGTTGTGATACAGTACAGTCCTCAGTAGAGAGGTCCATGTGAGTCTGCCCTTCTGAGGCCTATCAAAAGACACATGAGTGAGCTTAGAAGTGGAAGCCTCCTCACTCAAGTCTTGAGAGAACTGCAGTCCAGCCAACATCTTGGTTATTGCTCCGTGAGACACTGGAGCCTGAATCAAGCAGCTAAGCTGCTTCTGGATTCCTGACTTGCAGACATTATAGGTCAGGAATGTTTGTTGCTTCCAACTGCTAAATTTAACAATAATTTGTTATGCAAAAGTAGGTAACTAATGCATACCCCATGGATTCCACACCCATCGTTATAATAATTTACTTGCAAAAATCTCCAGCTGTCTACATTTTCCTGGCTGAATCACCATGCTTACTGTAATGGACAGCTGCCCTTTCTGATCTGGGGCCCATGCAGCAGAGCATTATTGAAGAAATTCACACCCTCAGGCAGTTAGATGTCCCTGTAAATTTACAGACAACAGATTCTCATGGCCTCACCACACAGACTATTACTTATAAGTTCCTTCTCTTATTATATCCTATGAATGTTTTATAACTTTGATTATTAAAAATGTTTCTCAACTCTTGAATTATAAGTGAAAAACCTTTTTCACTCGTTATTTATAAAACAGATGTGATTAGATGGGAAATACCTTACATTCATTAAACTGATTGTACCTTCACCCATTTTCTCCTCTCTTCGTATCTCCAAGGAGATGCTGCCCTTATCTAAGAAGCCACCCCCTCTACAGGTAACTTGGATCTTACTTCTATCGGCTCTCATACCAATACTTTCTCCCTGTCTCCTGGACCACTTCGATCAGCATACATATTTCATAGCAATACTACCTGTCTAAAAACTTCTGGTAAACAACCTGTTTCTCAAATCCCCTTCATAAACAATCTTTTTTAAAAAGCTGCCACATTCACTTCACTTCCTCACTTCCCTCTCATTTCTCAATCCATTTTGGCTTCCATCCCCACAATTCCACTGAAAAATCCTTGTCAAAAATCACTGAAGACCTTCATGTTGCCAAGTTAAAGGGATAAATGTTTTTCTTATCTGACTCCAACTTTCAGCAGCATTTTAAATGCAATGCCCTCCTTTTAGAAACCACTTCTATTTTGGTTTCTGTTTTATCATACTTTCCCAGATATACTTTTACATCACTGATCACTTAGAAGACACTGAGACACTTCTCAGTGTCTTTTACTTGTTCTTCCACATTAACTTGAAATGCTGACTGCTTTAGAGGTAAATGTTGGTTGTGCTTCCCTTATTTCTCCACCACCTCTCCCTTGGTGGTCGAATCCATTTCCTAATGTAGAATATTGCTATAAAAATCTCTACGTACATACACACATATGAACAGATACCCCATGTACGTCCCTTTAACAAGATATCTGCTCTGAGCTCTAGATTTTTAAATAATCAACTACCATGATTAATATCTCTATTAAATATGCCTCACAGTCATCTCAGATTCCAGGGTAATTAAAGGAAGATTCCTGATTACTCCAAAGAAATGTGTTCTTCCCTTAGTCTTTCTGTTTGTGGAAATGGCATCCCTATCCACCTAGTTATTCAATTGGCAAACATGGGAATGATGCTTGCTGATCATTTTCTATCACTCTACATCTAATCTCATGACAAATACTGTCTGTTCTACTTTGTATAAGTTTCCTAGGGCCATCATAATAAAATCACACAATGTGGGTGGTTTAAGCAACAGAAATTCATTTTTTTTTCACACTTTTGGAGGCCAGATGTCTAAAATCAAGTTGCCTGTTGGATTGGTTCCTCTGGGGCCTCTTTCTCTAGCTTGCACATAGCTGACCTCTTG